ATGACCAAGGTAAAACTGTAGGTACTGAGGGGAGGTTATGTGAAAGGGAGGTGCCTTCTGAGTTTAGACATGTTCCTGGTTGGGTGGCAGCTGGGCAGGGATTACAGTTTTGGATTTAAATGCCTGGCTTCCATCTCAGTTCTGTGGTAGGTGTGTACATCTTTTATTAGAGCTAGGTCCCTGTAGGTCTCGATCAAGATAGCTTGTCACTGCCTTGGCTGGAGAGGCAAATCGTTTGAAAGATTTAATTCTGCTAGACCTTGTGCAAATCAAGTCATTCTTTTATCAACCCTTTTCAGTATCAAATTCCTTGACAAATTCTGAGCTGGACCATGAACACTGGTCAATATCAACACTGTTCTGTACCATTCTGTCGGTTGAAGTGTATTATTAACTGTTCAGGTGTCTTATAGAAATAGCAGACTGTGAGAACTAGTTTCATTAATGGGACTTAAATACCCACTCTTTCAGGGTTATATAGGATGGGGCTTTTTGTCACCGAGCTTTGCTCTCTAAGTGTTTCATGGCCAACCCTAGCTTATAGTTGTAGCATTGTGATAGCTTTGATAGCGTGAAGTAAAAAGTAAGGTGAGGCAGGTACGTGGGGTGAAAAAGCAGCTCTTATTAAATTAAGGCAGTTGAAAAAATAGACAAGCTTTCCTCAAAGTTTGAAATAAAACTGTAAATCTCTATGTTTTATTCTATTTGTCTAAAGTAGGATCTGATTCAATGCCTTCTGAAGGGCTCCTTCTTTCTCTCACTTGCAGTTGGAGGGGGAAGCCAAACAACAGAAAAAACTGAACACCTAACACAGGTGATACCCCTGGCTTCAAGCTGTGAGAGAAGTGTGTGGAGAAGAACCTGCCTCACTACTTACATGAAGCTCTAGTTGCTTCCATAGGCCTGCCCAATTTCTGCACCAAATATAACTTTTTTTTGTAGCAGATGAAAGGAGCCAAGCCAAGCGAAACGTTTTGCATTAATCAGTGCAGAGAGTCTTCTCTGGAGGATGATTCAGAGCAGAAACCTATCTTAGCTCCTCTGAATTAAAGAAGTTATTTTCTTTTTGTTGCAATAAGCTTAGGAATATTAGTGTCACCAGGCTAAAATTAGCCTTTATTAATTCTCCCCGCAGTTGTACATCCCTGCATGAAGAAAGCACCTCAGTTTTTAATGCATAACTGCTGGTTCAGTATACCTGCTGGAGGTCTTCAGCTCTAATTTTCACGAGTGCAGTGTACTAACAGATACCACCAGCAGTGTGTCTGCTGTTTGACCTTGTGCAATTTGCATTTTTATTTAAAAAAAGACAGAACACGTCCTTTTCATGTATCTTTAAAAGAGAGTTAATACATCTTAACAGCAATAGTTTTATCTCTGCAGGTGGGGGAACGATCACACCCTGTAAAAATAATGGACTTACCATTCTTTGGCTTCCACTAAATATGAGTGTGTGGTCTGAGGTCCCAGAGCTGCAGGGGTGTTCTGAACTTTTCAGCCAGTGTATGCAGCTTTTTGGATAGATAGGAAAAGGCTCCTCATTTACTCATATGTCAAAGTTTCTGTTAAGAATTTATTCCAATTTAGATGGTGAACAAGTAGGGTGGGGAAAGATAAGATACAAATCTAAAAGTTCTAGAGTCAGATTAGAAGCATTTTATGAAATGGCTCTCATAAGAAGGCAGGTTAAATTTGTGAATTAAAAGAAAAAAGTCCATAAACACAAATCCGAGGTTAGTTCTGTATGTTAGTTGTGGTCTTCATAAAAAACAAAATGCTGAAATATTTTGCTTGAAGAACTGAATCTCCAGCTCATTATTATAAAGCTAAGGTCTGCAGTAACAAGAGCAGGCTGAAATCAGAACATCTCACACTCTTTATTTATTTATTTATCCATCCTCATAACTCTACCATGGTGATGGAAAGTCTGCTCTTGTTAAGAGCAGTAACATTTTTCCCATTCCACAGAGGGAAGAAGATGCATCAAAGTACATGACCTGAATCAGGTGTAAATTTTCCTACATTTGTTGCAGGCAATGAAACTAGGTTTCTGGGCTCCCTTCATGCCTAAATTCTCATTTGTAAGTTGCTGTTAAGGGATCAGCTGGGATGGTTTGTCCACATTTCAAACGAATTGGAGACGAACTTAAGGAAGCTACCCCTACATCGTAGATGACAGTTCAGTGCCAGTGCCTGTTCAGTCCCTGTTGTCCAACAGTGCTGTCAGCTATTGACACTATCAGCTGTGGCAGAACTTTGGGACATCTGTCAGAACTGTCAAATCCATGAAATCCAGAGAATACTTGCCAGCCAGCAATGCCTGGGGCAGATTCACACCTAAGTACAGAAAAGTCTGTATATATTCATGCTTCCTTCGACTCCTTTCATGTATGAGGTAAGCATATTTGCCAAGCATCTAATATTTTACCCTAAGCCTAGCAGCCCATTTGGTATTTTCTTATAGTAACAGCACAACTGTTCCAGAGAAAGATACTGCTGTAAAATATGTAAGAAACTAATAGCTTTAATTACAAGCTCACTTGAGCCTTGTAACAGCTAGCGAAATGGTGGAAAGAACTAATTAATGACAAGCCTAAATCAAAATAAGAACAAACCAAACCATTCTATTTGATTGTCCATGGTAGCTAGAGCTGGATGACTTCAGTAAGCTATTTAAGAATGCATATATCCAGGAGTGCATGACCTAAAACGGTATCTTTTTCTCTATGAAATGGCCTCATTCTCAAAGTTTGGATCCAGACCTGAGTTCCCTCAAAGCTTAAGCTTTTATAGGGCTCCTTTCAGACACAAGGACTAGTACCAATTGATTTATTTTCTTTTTTTTTTTTTTTTAAATGAATTCATCAAGGGAATATTTTTTCCATGGAAAGTATCTTTGTAAAAATCCTTGGACATTGTAAAAGAAAATAACTCTCAAAAGAATTCAAGCCTAGCCTGACCAATTTTTATTTTCAAAAGGGATATTTCCATTTTTAACATAAGAAAGGTATCTTGAAGAGCACATCTGAACAGTGAGCTAAGTTTTTGCAGAAGAAGAAGACTGCCCAGAGAAGTTTCCATGGGCACTAATCATTAAGATTCAGTTTTGAAAAGTCATATGAATCCGTCTCTAAATGGGCACAAATGGTAAAAATATTTTTAATGTACAAAGATGTTCTCAATTTACAAAGAATACACAGTGCCAGCTAGCTTCTGTAGGCCAATAAGCAAGTGTCCTGGTTTTGCCACAGCAAGAAAAGGAAAATTCAGCAGCTCATCTGTAAATAAAGTATGCACCGTAGAAAGAATTAAGTGTTGTTTTTCCAATGTAGCCAAAATTCCACACTGAGAGATCTGCTTCAGAGAAAGTAAGCATTCTGTATGGGCTTAATTACACACAGAGATACATAATTTTCTACTATATATAAGTTAAATGCAGTTGATAATAGTGGAACCATATTGATGTTAATTAATTTCTTTTCCCTCTCTCCTGTTTTGGAAGAACTGCATAGTATTCTATGCTGTTCGGCATTTTAAAAGCTTTTTTAAAAGTTGAAAAACCTGAAAAAAAGTGAAGTTGAAAAACCTGAAAACTAAGTTGAAAATAGGAAAAAGCTCTCATTTTATTATTTTATTATATAGCTTTTTTGTTAAATCTGTGATATCATTTTAGAAAATAACATTCTAAATCATACAAACATTTTACAATTGCAACTTATCCGTATTTAAAGAAAACAGCAGCATAAGCCCATCAGAAGGCTAATGTAATTTTAATGTACCTCTGCATACATTCTGTTATTCTGATTTACAAAGCCATATTAGGTGCAGAAGGAAAAAGGGTTTTTTATGAGTTAGGCTTTAAAATAGCAAATAAGCAACATGGAGAGTCAAGTCAAAGCCAATAGGTGAAGAGAATTAGACAAGGATACCAATTACACCCCCTTGCCTTCTGTAAGAGATTGCTACCTAGTTAAAGTGCCAGCATAGTGTCTGTCATTTTAAGTATCACAATGTTCTCACAGATAATACACAGAAATAGGCAGGGTTGCATTTACTACACCCCTTTTTTAATAAAAAACATTTCTCATAAACAGATATTTCCAACTTTTGCATAGTCTTGTAAGAAAACACTTATAATCTTTGCCGTTACACACAACCATATATAATGAATATACTAGAATTGCACGGCAACACTTAAAAATCTACATAATTTAGAAACTGAAATTTTAGTTATCTGAAGTAATTCTTTGCAGTGTCTCACTCTTGCTGCCTAGTAAGTTGGTTAGAATTCAAATACTATGGAAATAATTCTTCAAAGAAAACCGGTAAGTGCCATTTACAAAGGTACAAAATATACAGCAAAGTCCATCTCTCATTAAATAAAATATACAGATTAGCTGATGTCCCAAATAATTAGCTAACACCTTATTTTAAGGGATAAACTTACAGGGAGCTTTTCATCCCCAGTACAGGAGAATTACACAACAGTTCCTTTCTCCATATGCTTATGCAATGAGTCACGTTCATTTTAACTGCTGATTCTGAAGGACTGAGTTGATTGTTCTGCACAGTGAGAGCCAAAAATGATCCTTGGTGGACTTGCAGTAAAGTCAGTGGGGAACCCTAGAGATCAGTTTCACCTAAGGTATCACAGCTATTTCAATATTTATACTAATAACAGCAATCATTATCACTGTGGTGTCTGTTAAACTTCCACAAGAATTCTCCTGTAATCTAGCAATTGATGTACCATTAAAATAAAGTGTTGCCAACACACTTTGTGTTCACTCTACTGTTAAAATAGTGAGCTATGAAAACTGCCTACTTATTCTTAAACTGATCTCCCTGAAAATAAATGAGTTTTAATAAAAATATTATGTTCCCACTTAAACCAGCCATTGTAATTTAAGAGTTTGGAATGAATGGTAAGTGCTTGTATGTTAGGTTAGCAAAGAGGTATAACACCAGCTACGATTACAGCAGTGTCGCATCCCTGACGTTTACTCTTGCTCCAGGCGTATATTAACCATGGCAAAGCATCGGCCTATGCTCTGAAAGAACGGTACGATGAACACATCTGTCAGGCTCTTCCATACAGTTTGCACTGAAGGCAAGACCATGAGACAAGTTTTCACGAAAGGCACCACAATCCTGTAAAAGAGAAAATGGAAGATTTGAAGATTGTTGCTGCTATAGTGTGCAGAAATGAGGATAACTAAACACAGGTGTGAGATCTTAGAGAAGAGGAAGTGATTTTATAACTCTAAATCTCTAAACGAGTTGATTTTACACTCTTGTGCTCATTCTCTATCAATTTTGTTCACTCACAGCCTCACCCTGCACATGCAAAAGCACCATGACGCATGTGGTCCTCTGCCTGGGATCACTTGTGTGCAACACAGGGGACAAGAGACACCAGCTTTCTTTTCATCATGTCTCTGCTGCTTCTTAATTGGCAATGCTGAGCTAACTTTTAGACATGCCTTCTACAGGGCTGAAATTTTGCCCTCCCTGCTGGAAGGGCTGGTGTATGTGATACGCTGCCACCACGATGCCACCCCACTGTGGCTGGGAGCAGAGTCATCTGCTAAGGACTAATTTGTGCTGTGGGCACATATGAGCATGAGTCTCCAGGGCTTAACAGAAACACCATGTTTCCCAGTTAGATTGACTGGGAACAGCGCTCTTTACAATCCACTCTGGCTCTGCTGTGTCTTTGGGTGTTTCTTTGATCCTTCTCTCTCTCACACACGCAAATGCACAGGCACAGGCCCATACTGCCGCTTGTGTCTCACTCCTACAGATCTCACACTGCTGGTACAAGTCGCTACAATAAAACAGAAACAGTAAAGTAATACCCAGTTACACTGGATTACTACAGCACAGACACATGCCAAACCTCAGAGAAATGGGATCTTGCTGATACTGTAAATTTTTTCATTTGTGGGTCAGAAACTAAGGTAGAATGAGGCCAAAACTCCTGGTCAGGGGAAAGATCTTTTTATTCACGTAGGCTGTGCACTTGAAAGTATTCTGCTTTCACCTCCTGAGCACTAGTAACCATCTGGGGATACTCTCTACACGTCCCAATTCCAAAGCAATGTCATTAGTGGTGGCCAAGCATACTAACAACAAAGGCGAGCCGGAAACGCACCCATGTGCGGCTCAGGAGGGTCGGTGGATACACGAGAACTGACCACACTATTTTAAGTTATTCTCCTGTTTTAATCATTTACTGGCCAAGACCCCATGTCATTTCACTAAGCTGGATGTTCTTATTTGGGTGCAGACAAATTAAACGTATAAATAATTTATGTAATACTGAAGTGGTACTAGAGCAAGGTTTTAAAAAAAATCTGTAAATAACACATTTATTTCCTCAATTAGGTAGAAGAAGCTATAGATTTTCTTGATAAAAGATAAACAACTCTGTTCTAGTTTGCTGTTGCATTCAAATTTTAAGATCCCAGTCTTGCATCCATGTAATTCCATTGCAGAACTCTCATTGACTTTGGTTGGAATGACAGGAAATATTTACTTTTTCACAGTAAGTCTGAAAAATAAGTAAGTATTGTGTATTTCCAATGAGTACCGCTTCGAATAACAAAGTAGAAACAAACATTGTACATTTAAAAAAAGTTGAAGCCTAGAAATGTAAAGAGTCAACATGAATTATTTTCAGCATTTATCTAACCAGATTCTCAGTTTTTATCATACAATGCAAGCCATATACTAGTATGTCTATGCTGCACTCTAAGCTAACCCAGATGGATTTAAACAAGAATAGCTTTTCTAAAACCTTCTCTTCTTTTGTCTCTGCTGAAAGAGCTAGTAATATACCCACCATATAGAACTGTGAGTGTTACTGGAATAATGTGTCTCTAGCTTTAAACTGAACTCAGTAATCTATTATAAACACCTATTGTATCACTGCATATAGAATAGATAATTTCTAGAGAATAAAACTAGGGCTTCATGTGTTAGAATACAGTTTATAACCATCAGTAATGCAAAGAGGAAAAAAATCAGTATTTCTCCAAGCAAGACAGGGAAAACACCAGAAATGATGACTCAGATTGAGCTGACTTCACCCCTTTTCCATCTTCAGTTAGTTTATAAAGGCTATGTCACTGCTCCTTTGCTGCCATCTAAAATTAATCTGGTCTGTTTTTTTTAAAAATCTAACTGAATTGCAGAGAATCAGAAAAGCTGACATTTCTAGTGGACACTCTGTCGACAGGATCACAAAAAATACAAACTAAGCAAATACCACACTACGCAGAAGTTTCACAGAAAGATGTAGTGAATGACCAGGATGTCATTAGGGAAGGCTGGAAAAGCAGTGATCATACTACTTGCAACTGCTGTAGAGGTCGTTCACATGGTACCAGAACTCAACCTCTTTCGATAATCTTAAATACGATAAAATATAAAAAATTTTTTGGTAATGTTTTATAATCCTTTAACATTTCCTATCCAATTTTACAGTAAATGCAGATGAAAAACTCTCATTAAGTTTGGTTGGAATGACAGGAAATATTTACTTTTTCACAGTAAGTCTGAAAAGTATGTAAGTATGGTGTATTTCCAGTGAGTGCCACTTAGCATAATAAAGTAGAAACTAACATTGTACATTTAAAAAAAGTTGAAGCTTAGAAATTCAAAGAGTCACCAGGAATTATTGTCAGCATTTATCTAACCAGATTCTCAGTTTTTATCATACAATGCAAGCCATATCCTAGAATGCCTAAAAAATGCACAGGAATAACCAGGCACCTGGTTATTTACTTTTTAAGTGTGCCTGGTCACTCCAGGAAAGGCACATCACACTCTCTCATGATTTGGAAATGCCCCACAGCAGGATAACAGAACAGGATGCATACTTAAATATATGTATATATAAGTACACATATTCACACAGGAACAGGAATCAGTCCCTGATCTATAATAAAGATCACGGTTTTGCATGTGCTGCCTGGAAAATCTGCAGTGTTCTGCTCATGTTCAAAAATCAATAATCTTAACAGCCCCAAGCTAAGGACATGTTTAAAACCAGGACACTCAGGTATTCACAGAAAGATGTTAAAACTCAGTCTTGAAAATTTCTGCGGTCCAACAGCCATTAGTAAAAGAGAAGAAATGTGGAGAAGTAGCCTTTCTTGAACTGGCTTGTATGTAGGTCACCAACCTGCTCGCTAGCACAGTTTCAGTATCTTTTACCAGGTGTGTAAAATGGGGTTCTGTCTCAAGCAGCCAGTTTGAGAACAGAACCAGAACACATTCCTTCTCTACAGGCGAAAATGAAAATTAAAATGTATTATTACATACTTCTTACTCAACCTTCTTTTTGCTTTCCGTGAGGTTTCACATGTTTGTTTCCTCCTTTAGCAATCTTTTTGCTGGTGAAAGTTGGCATTAACTATCAGGTATGAAGGGTGCAACTCATGAGGTGCCCCTGATGCATGAGGAGTGCTGACTCAGACTGTTGTGGATTTTTAGCGTGCTGACAAAAGTGCAACAATGTACGTGACAATCAACAAAGCTTTGTGCCTGAGCAACTCCCAAAAGCTTTTGAATCACCTTTGAATTTAGCCTCAGGAAAGGCTCCCCCACGACAGATCAACATCATCATCTCACTAGTTTGGATGATGGAAGTGAGGCACAGAAGCACTGATGAGCCCTCCTGCAGGCAGCCCCACGGGAGGGTGTGCCCAGGGTTTTCCCATTACGTTTCAACAGCTGAGACAGGGTTACAGTGGAATTCCCTTCCTCTCACTCCCAAAACAAGAAGTTACCTTTTTTCCCAGACCCAGTGGAGCTACATGGCAGCCAGTACCATGCGTTTAGTGTCCCTATACCTGCACTGCTCCTGCACTATCCTCTCAAACGCAGAAACTTTGAACTCCTTTCTCCCAAGAAATCTGGAACATGGAGAGCTGCAGAGAAGCTAACTTAGTCTCACTGTGTTCCACCTTCGTGTTGAAACAAATCCAGCTTGTGGTTGTGGGAAGATGAGACAGTGCTGTCTGGATGGTAGCACTGGATAGGGTCCAAGGGGGTGCAGATAGTGCTACTGAGTTACATGATTCTTTCACACCCATCCCAGGTGCAAGGAAAATCAAAATGAAAGATCTCTTCTGTGGTGACAATGAACGAAGGGAAAGAAAAATAGTTGTTGGGGAAGCAAGTGAGTTCACAGAAAGTCACAGGAAATGTTTCAAATCAAATGCCACATTCAGACAGTCCTATTTCAGACACACTAAGGACCCACAGCTCCTGCGAGTCACTTGGGACTACTTGCATAAATAGAAACTGACCTCTGAGTTCTGGTTCAGTGAAACTCATGCCTACCTATCCAGGCTGTGAAACCCAGATACAAGATCATTCTAAAGCACAAAAACTAATTATTAGAGTCTTAATAAATCGGGCACCAAATATTTCTTCCATAGATATTCCACTACTGGAAATCTATATGCCCACTAAACCTTTGTGCAATAACACGGGACAGTACAGCACAGTGACAGCTGACAGACCTAGAAGTCTGGGCACACTATACAATGTTCATCATAATTTGGGGAGTAGCAGGTAGGCAGCTCTAAATTACATTGTAACTCCTTTAGATATTATGCAAACTTTATGCTCCAAAATTCAAGTTAATCAGCTTTTGAGGTGGATCATGACAATGTCATCAACCTTAACTTCCACTCACTTTTGAAAACTGAAATCTGCATCCAAAAGATTACAACCACATGTTCAGACAACCAATGTATTCCTGTTGCTTTGAGTTTGTTTCACAGTTTCTGGATTGTATTTTGTTTTCCTTAACAACTTCTTCATGATTCCAGTGTTCCCAAAGTCAATGAGACTGCCCAAAACTCATGTATATGGAAAATCGTGGTTTGCAGGAATGACATTAATAGTCTGTATGCACCCCTTCCTCTGTACTGGCTGGATTCTCAGTTCTTTCCTCAACCTCATTCTTTTCCCTGCCTTTCCTCCTTCTCCACAATCATCTGCCTTTCTGGTCTCAAGTCACTCTTCCCTGATATTTTGCCAGGATATTCTGTGTAAAGCACACCAGGTTTGCTGTGACTTGGAGGGCTACTCTATTTGCCTGTGAACCTGGGCCATGGCCAGAAGCAGCTTTCCTGAGCTCAGAGGGGGTTCTTTGCTTAGGTGGAAGTGCTTTGGGGCACTGCACCTAGAGATGGCCATGTACCAGATGCAAGGCAGAGACAGTAGATTTTGTAGCAGCAGCAAAGCTGGGCCCTCAGAAGCTTTTTTCAGTCTGCGAGGAAAAAAATTGAAGAGGTAACCGCACTGAGAAGGTGTCAGGTGTAAGTAATACTTCTGCCCAGGTCTTTCATTTCAAACACACATTTGAAGAATTGTACTCCAGTTTAAAAAACCAAGCAATCATTATTATTACTCCAGAAGCCAGTTGAGGCTGGAATGCATGGCGTTAGGTGCCATACAAACGCTAAAGCAGGCTCTCTGCCCCAAGAAGCTTACACAGACGCGACAGACCACCGGTAAAAGCACGGCATGATTCCTCTGAATCACAGAGGAAACGTTTTCATTTCTCTCCCTTTAAAAATAAAGCAGATAACGCAAGTCGATCCGACTGATTACCGGTTGTAACGACAGTGACCAACAGGTCGGCACTACAGCAACAAGAGGAGGGTCCTGCTGAGCTGCCTGCGGAGCCCCCGCAGCGACGGGCACCAAACCGCACTCACCAGATGTGCAGGCAGCTGAGCACCGCGAAGACGATCCCCACAAGCAGGGCAAGCGGCACGGCCAGGACCAGCGTCAGGAGCTTGTAGATCAGGTACTTGCTGAGCTCGAAGAGCGCGTGGCTGCAGACCCAGACTTTGTCGAAGGAGTGGGTCAGCTCGGGCTCCGCGATCACATCCTCGAACCCCAGCTGGAACA